CACACACACACACACACACACACACACCAAAGTTCCAGTTTCCAAAGATGCAAAATAATCCCGGACCATCCGGGTGTCTGCATCACTTTTCCTGGATTTGCTCCAGATGTTTAGCTGATTTGATATGTAGGATATTTCTGTTTTCATGATAAAACGTTTCTTGCTTTGATCAGCAGCAATAGTTGCTCCTTTGCTGATGTCTTCCCTGCCTGTTAACACCCACCTGATGCTGCAGTCACGCTGACCCGTTATCTGATGCTTCTGATCAGCTGTTTGGCTTTTATTAACCGCCTTTATCTACCTGCATGTTCTGCAGCTGTCCTGTATGTGGGAGGACGTCCGATGGCTGAGGCAGAGTATGTCCGTGTCCATGTCGTCTTCATCCACGCTGCAGGCCCGCCACAAGATGCTCACCGCCGCCGCCCAGCTGCAGGTGAGGAGCTCAAAACCAGCATCGTAGAACCGCTGCTGGAAACGAGGAACGGCTCCATCTGTAACCAGTCCTTACTGGTCTGTTCTGACAGAACCTCCTGGGAACCCACAACCTGGGCCGGGTCCACTACGAGCCCATCAAAGATCGCCATGGAAACGTGCTCCTGGTGACGATCCGCGACACCGAGAGCCAGCACTCGCTGTTCAGCGGGAGGTGGATGCAGGTGACCAAGCTGCAGAGCCAGAGGAAGTCGCTGTCCACGCCGGAGGAGCCGTACGCGCTGGACATCCTCATCATCACCATGCAGGTGAGGAAGATGTCCTCAGACAGCAGAGCTGAGGTGGACCTCACTTTTTGTTTTTTTTAGTTTGAAACCACAGAAAAGAGACACAGAACATTTTATTTCATCACTGAGCTACTAGGATCTGAAAAAGCTGAGCTCCGACTTCTGCTGGTGCAGAATCAACATGGCGGGTGATGCATCTGGTACCCACGCCTTCAGTGGGCATCCTTCAACCTGCTCTACTTCTTAACTCCTTCACATCCGAATTTATATATATATATATCTATATATATATCTATATATATAGCTATATATAGATATATATAGATATATATATATATATATATAGATATAACACTTTGCTGCTAAAGCCCCATTTCCACTACCCTTTAGAAACCGTGCAGGGATCGGTCAGAGCGCGGTAACCGAGGTAACTGTTGAGTGGAAATGGAACGCACAACTGAACCGGACCGCGCCAGAAACAACCGAACAGTTCTGGCTCGGTTCTCAGATAACAAATAGCGCACGAACAGACCGCGTCACCTCCTTACAGTCAGCCTCCGTAATCATTCATTAAATCCTAGCTTCCCTACCACGCCACATGGTTTCCATTGATGATTCTGCTTAGCAGTCTGATGAACTTCAACGTCTGTCGGTGTTTCCTGCATCTGGAAGCCCTGAATAGACGATCGTTTGTTTTATCCACTTCCCAAAAGCCGACTCTGTCAAGTAATTCACCAAAGGCTGCCTTCTTCACCTGACTTTCTGCAAACTTCCTGAATATTACGGGCGCCGCCATGTTGGTTTGTTTCCCTCTAGAGAGCAGTAGTACCGTAGATCGCCACTAAGAGGCGAGGAACTAAACTGGCACGGTTCCTGCACCATCTTTGTTATTAGCCACCGCTGTCGGGTAGCGACAGCAGGCCACTGTGACAGCAAATCCCAGAATGCTTTGCGAAGTGAGCTCTCCATGCAAAGCATTCTGGGATATATCTGCCTCTTCTGAGGCCTTTCTTTTCTTCTTATACACTTTGTAGACACTTTTTCTCTTCCAACCCTCGGCCATTTTTAAAGAACCATGGTGAAAAAGGTGAGCTTCAATGACCGTCTGAAACCGTAGCTCACCACAGATATACGCCTGAAAGAGCGCAGAGAAAGCTAGCTAACGGGACGAGCGTGTAGGACGGCCTTAAACATATCACCAGAATGATTGACAGTTAGGAGGACCACTGATTAAGATGATCCACCCAGAAATAAAAGATCCTCCTCTATACCTTTAAGAGAACGGATTGTTGGGAATTAATTTAAAAAGTTGGAAAGAAGAGAATTAAAGTTTAGGTTGTGAATGTAGGTTAGTGTTTCTGATGATTTTAGGCCAGCAGAGAGCTGACCCTGATCGCCCACCACTGATTCTGGGACAGGAAGGAAAAATTTCAATATTTTTAAGCTGTGAAATAGATAAAACACTTATTTATATTTTCTTTTTTTTCTTTTATTGTGCATGCTCTAAATGTTCTATAGATGATTATTTTTTTAGAAATGTTTCTATCTTCTCTATCTTTCTTGAGAAAGATAAAGAAGAGACTAGAGGGTAGATCAAAGCGCGTGTTTAGGATTGGTTTATCTCTGATTATTGAAGCTCTGAAGATCTTTGTTCCTGATTTGGAAAATGATTTTATTGGAGCCGTCTGTCCGTCTCTCTGGAGCCGAAGCTGATTTTTTTCTGCTGTCCCTGCAGGACCTCCTGGCGTACCAGCGGCGCAGCACCCACCGCCTGGCCCCGGGCCTCTACCTGGGCTACCTAAAGCTCAGCAGCTCCGTGGACCAGATCAAAGTCCTGGTGTCCCAGCGGACCCCCAACATGCTGTGCCACAGCCGGATCCGGGACAATGCCAACGTGTCCAGGTTCCTCTCACACACACACACACATAGAATGAGCTGCCCTGGTTGCCATAGTAACACTGTATGATGTAGATGATGAAATTGTGAAGGTAAATCATTTTAAATAACAAAAAGTCGAGGCAGAGGCTCAGGGTCACATTTCCCACAATGCACCGGCAGCCAGAAAGCCTCCATAATCCGTCTCTCGCTCCATCAGGGAGGAGTGGGACTGGATCCAAACGCTGGCAGCTGCAGGAGAAAAAGGACGCAGCGAGGAGGAGAGCGAGGAGGCGGAGCCCCAGGCCGAAAGCCACGCCCCTCTACTCTACTACGAGCTGCAGACGGCGATAAAGGCACTGCTGAAGCACATCCACGTCCCTCTGCACAAGGTCAGAGCGCCCCCTGGGTGTGACATCTGTGCATTACACCCACAGAAACAGAAATAAAATTAAAGCCTGACTGAAGGATTATAAACATAAAATCCTTATGAAAAAGATTAACGGTTTAAAGCTACACATTATTTGACTTTTCTTTTAATGTTTATGCCAGAGACTCGCTCTGGCTGCTGGAAATGTTACAGCGTTGTTGTTTTTGCCCACTTTGTTAGTAAGTATGACCTTTGTGTTTATATTTACCATAAATGCATCATGTGACCTGATTTCCATCACTGCCTATACATACAGTTAGTCAACAAGCTGCAATGTTACAACACAGTTGGCACGGCAACGACTTACTTAGGGGTTTCTTCTGGTAGTTCAGTGGTTTTGCAGGTAGATGGCGCCATATCTGATTATTCGGCTCGTGGCGCCCGGGGCTGAGGCTCTATTTAAGCTCAAAAAGGATAAAACATTACGGTATAGAGCAGGGGTAACCGATTAAAAATCATTGGGGTCCGAATAAAGAAAATCATCAACCAGTAAAAGTCTGGAGACATTTTCAATTATAATCCGTTACTTTAAACAGCATTTAACAATTTCCTGATTTTATTAAACACCTGAACTGATGGTTTGTTCTTTTCTTTCTTTTTTCTGTCTTAATGTTGGCAGTGGGCTTTAGGCTGCCCTGCAAGGCTTTAAACCTGGGTTTAACCGGAGACTAAGCCATTCTCAAGCACATATCAAGGAGCTCATTTTGAGCCTGGATCCAGATTTATTGTTGATTCTGTTCATGGTGGAGAATCCTGCTTCACAGCAGCAGGTTGAGCCAAACATCCTCTAAATGTGCAGGGTAATCTTTGAGCACGCCATTTCACTTTTCTTTCACCAGTTCACCGCAGTTCTTCCAGCAGTCCACACTTTCTCTGCTCTCTTTTTCTCATGGTCTTCTCCTTCTTTCCCATCGCCCGGCTTTCCACAGGTTTGCCTGGTGTCTCTAAAAGAAGCAGCAACAGCAACCCAGACTGACAGCTCATTGGCTCATTTGGATCACGTGCAGCCTGGAGCCGGACGCTCCCCAGGGCTTTACCGTATTAACAGGAGAAGAGGCGCATGTGAAGTTAGACACTGTTGTTGGACAACATGCAGTAATTTATAAATGTTTTAAATCAGGTTGGGTCTGGATTAGGCAGCAGGTGGGTCCAGAAATCAGTGACTCCTGGTATATTGTCTTTTTCTGGGTGGATCATCTAAATTAGTGGTCCTCCTGACTGTCAATCATTCTGGTCATATGTTTAAATAAGGCAGTCCTTCGTGGTCATTCCCATTTTCACTTACCGGTGGTCAGTCTGACATAGTGGAGAAATTACAAATCTTTTTTGAAGTGAGCTGGAATGAGTGATCGTGAGCGTGCACGAGGAGAAATGGACCCGTGCACGCTCTAATAGGCGGGTACAGGGCCGTGCATGTGCATTTTCAAATGGTGAAGGCGGGTCTTTTTAAAAATTCTCAAATATCCTCCATCATGCCTTAATTCATGATGATCAGCTGAATTCTGGTCTTATTTTATCGAGGAATATAACTTGACTTTGTGCTTTTAATTTTAAAGTTAACATTTTAAATATAGCTACAATTAAAAAAAAGGAAACTTTTAGATGATTCAAGAGAACAAATAAAACTTTACTGCAGAAATATATCATGAAAACTTTCCAACATCTGTTTTTGTCCTGAGCTGGAAGTGAGATGGATCTGCTCGTCCTCCGACGTTCCTTCAGGTTTCGACTTTCCTTCACATCCCGCTTTGAACGACCCTCCCTGTGTTTCCAACTGCAGGCCCGTCACTTCCGTCTCTACAGCCAGGAGGTGGTGGAGATCGGCCACGGCGTCTCCTTCCTGCTGCTGCTGCCCCCGGCTGATGACGTTTGCTCCGCCCCCGGACAGTCCAACCCCTACAGCCCGCTGTCAGGGTTCCTGCACCTCCCGCTGCAGATGTTTGAGCTGGGTAACTACACCTCCTCTGCTGCAGGTGGAGAAACTGCTGAGACCAGAAGAACCTGAACATGTTTGGAGGAAATCTGCTCCAGGGGTCAAACAGACAGCAGACATGATGTAACCGTCCTCTGCTCCTCTGCCGCCCAGAAAACGTTCTAACAAAACTAAAACATCTACAGGAGAAAGATTCCTGCTTTTCCTTCAGCATTTACTTCAGACTGCAAACACTAAAATACTAAAAACACAATTTGCAAATGAAATAAGATGATTAACATTTGTGAATTATTCGTTAGTATCTGTCTATTTTAGGTGGATTATTGCTCCATTGGCTGATCTTCTTCTCTACCTGTTCCAATCAAGGCCAAAGAGATCAGTGTCTGCAGACCATAATAGAAACATTTGCAGTATGGAGTTAGATTGGTCTCAATTTTCACAAATACACATATTCAATTCTATTCAGTTTATTTC